GAGGCTTCTGCATTGCCCTGTCCCCAGAGTTTCCACGGGCTCTCCCTCACTTGGTGCAGTTGCCTTAGCCTAGTGTCTGGCAGAAGTCCACCCTGATGGCTGGACACAGGTTCCTCCGTGCGCATTGACCCTTTCTGGGGGAAGGTCCTTGTGTTACAGCAGCAACTTCTCGCCTGACTCTGAAAATAGCAGCAAGGGATGGGGTTGATGCTTTAAAATGACTCCTCTACAGAATGCTTGGAGTCCCATGCCTTTCCACCAGTGCATTCCCGACAGCCTGATACTTTCAAAAAGTTAACTTGGTTATAAGTTGTTACCAAGGGGCGGGGGAAAGCAAGCCATCACTCAGACGGCGCTGCATTGTACAGGTAAACAGTGTTGAATCGGCAAATGTCCTGTAATATAGATATTGTACCATTATATTTATACATACATATATATACACATACATTTGAGTTGTCCTGCTGGAGAAGAATTGATATAAACACACACACCAGATGATGAACAACAGAAACATGGTGAAGGGAGACAGTGGATGGAGTAAGATATGAGAATAATTCATCATGGGTTCATGAGGGTAGGAGGGCAGGGAGGGAGGGGAAAAATAAGGAGGAGCTGATACCAAGGGCTGAAGTAGAAAGGAAATGTTTTGAAAAGGATGATGGCAACATGTGTACAAATGTGCTTGATGGAATGGATATATGGATTGTCGTAAGAGCTCCCCAAATTGAATTATTTTTAAAGAAAGAAAGAGTCACAGACAGCTGGAAGGACAAACGGATCTGTCTTGGAAGAGGTATGTCAGAGAACTCTTTTTAGAGGCAAGGACGGAGAAACGTCATCTTACATCCTTTGGAAATGTTGTCAGGAGAGACCAGTCCCTGGCGAAGGGCACCGTGCTTGGTAAAGCAGAGGGGCAGCGAAAAGAGAAGGGCCCTCAAGGAGATGGGTTGGCACAGTGTCTGCCCCGGTGGGCTGACACGGGAACACTGGTGAGGAGGGCGCAGGACCCAGCAGGGTTTGCTCTGCTTCGTGAGGTTGCTGCGAGCCAGAGCCAGCGTGGTGGCACCTAACAGCGACAGGAGACAGGAGCACTGGAGAGGTTGGGAGTCGGGCATACAGTCTGCGGAGGTGAAGACTAAGATGATCTCCGGGGGGGTTCACGATGTGACTGCGGCCTGGGGAGGGGGGTCTGCACAGCAGCTGGAGGCAGAGGGCCAAGGGCCAGACTTTAGGCTATTAGGACTTCGTAACGTGACAACTATTTCCTCCCCTTGCCCTTCCTAGAGAGAACAGAATAACAGTGCAGACCAAAATCTTGCAACATCTCTTGGAATACTTGCCTGGGGAAGAATCGGACTGATGTCACATCCCTAGAACCAGGCTGGAGATGATTTTTTGAGCCCAAGAGTAGGTCTAGTGAAAGCACTTTTTTCATGAATGATGGCCATCTGCTGTGTGATGTTCTAGGACCGAGGTCCCAGCAGCGAGCAACACAGAAGAGTGCATGCTTTCAGAGGAAAGTCACATCCTGACAGATGGCACAAACTATAAGCAAGATAAACAAATGCCCCATGGTTGGTGTGGGTGACGCATTCACCGGTGAAACAAAGCAGCGATTTGAAATTCTGGAATGAGGGAGCTGGGGAGATTTGACAAAGGGTGGCCAGGGGAGATTTCACGCAGAAGGTCGTTGCTGGTACGAAGCAGCTGGATGCAGTTAGCCTGGGTGGTCTAGAGAAATGAAACCAGGGACACTTAAGGATGTACACAAGAGAACTGTACATCGAAACATAACTTCATATCAAGAAGGCAGCCCAGCCCAGTCCAACCCAAGTCCGTGGGTGGGATGCCAGGCGGGGCTCTCTGCAGACTCAGGTAGCTGCAGGCTGATGGTACAGAAAGATGCCTGGAAGCAGGGACCACGGGATGATGGACGCAGCACCACAAGGATCCAGGTCAGGGAATACGTGGCAGGGCACCAGCGGTTTCCCAGGAGGCAGACACAGAGATCCAGGGAGGAAAAAGGGAAAGAGAGGGGAAGTTCCCAGTGTCCCTCTTTAGCTAGGCCACACCCCCAAAGAGGCACCATCAGGCTGTGCCCTGATTGATGGGGTGGAGTCCACCCCTACACTTGCACACAGGTGGAAGTTGACTTTAAATTAAGCCCCACACTGAGTGGAGCTTTCAAAAGGAGTCTATGTTTGCTGACGGATGCATATGGCACAGGAGAGAGAGAAAACAGGGGTAAGGACCACTGAGGCCAGTCCTCCACAGGTCTAGGAATCAAGTTCGTGGAGACATGAGAAGCTGTCGGGGAGCTGGTCTGGAGGACTTCCACTAGGAACGTGTTAGGGCAAATGGTCACAAGGGGTCCAGATGACCGAGTCTGGAACTCGGGAAGAGTTCTGACTTTGTCATAAATGTGGGACAATCTTGAGTCCCTCCAAACATCCACTTTCTTCACTCACATTTGATCTGACCTGTCAAGCCGTATAGCTCGGTGTTTGCTACCACGGAGTCAGTTCTGACTCATAGAGACCTTATCGGACAGAGGAGAACTGCCCCCTGGCATTTCCAAAGCTGCACCTCCCTATAGAAACAGACAGCAGCATCTTTCTCCCATGGCATCACTGGCGGGTCCCAACAGGTGCCCTCGACGCTAACAGCCCAACGTTTCACCTGAAGGTTCCCACCCCCATGGGTCATGAACACCGTTTAAGAATTGCTGTCCATGTCCCTGAC